TTAAGGTCTTGGAGAAGTTATTCGAAATTTACACCAAACAGGAAATGAAAAAACCATGTGATTTTAGATTTTTTGAACTAAGATAGCAGAGTTCTGCTTTGATCTTAAGTCATTTTTACTACTCCCATTTATCATTTACATGACCAGGATCACAATGGTCATGTCAAAATGACCCTAACCATGCTGAAATGGTTTTTCAGCCCTCTGAAAATGTGACTGAAAAAAGTTAAAAGAAAGAGTATCGGTAAGGTCACTGAACATAATATTTTGATTTTTTCAGAAAATGTGCCCAATATATTGCTTCAAATGATAGGAGCTTTGAAAATAAGAAAAATTGTCTGAAACAAAAATTGTGGTCAGAAAAAGGAAAATAGACCTCTTTTCAAATCATTTTTTTCATTTTTTTTCATTTTTTCTCTAGACTATTTCTAGAAATTTAATCAAAATTTCAAAGCTCCTATCATTTAGAGCAATATGTTGGACACATTTTCTGAAAAATTCAAAATATTCTGGGGGGTCTTAGTTTTATAACAGGGTCTTAGTTTTATTACGTGGGGGTCTTAGTTTTGTAACAGTGTCTTAGTTTTATAACGTGGGGGTCTTAGTTTTATAACAGGGTCTTAGTTTTATTACGTGGGGGGTCTTAGTTTTATAACAGGGTCTTAGTTTTATAATGTGGGGGGTCTTAGTTTTATAACAGGGTCTTAGTTTTATTACGTGGGGGGTCTTAGTTTTATTACAGGGTCTTAGTTTTATAACGTGGGGGGTCTTAGTTTTATAACAGGGTCTTAGTTTTATTACGCGGGGGGTCTTAGTTTTATAACAGGGTCTTAGTTTTATAACGTGGGGGTCTTAGTTTTATAACAGGGTCTTAGTTTTATAACGTGGGGGGTCTTAGTTTTATAACAGGGTCTTAGTTTTATTACGTGGGGGGGTCTTAGTTTTATAACAGGGTCTTATTTTTATTACGTGGGGGGTCTTAGTTTTATAACAGGGTCTTAGTTTTATAACGTGGGGGTCTTAGTTTTATAACAGGGTCTTAGTTTTATTACGTGGAGGGTCTTAGTTTTATTACGTGGAGGGTCTTAGTTTCATAACAGGGTCTTAGTTTTATAACAGGGTCTTAGTTTTATAATGTGGGGGGTCTTAGTTTTATAACAGGGTCTTAGTTTTATTACGTGGGGGGTCTTAGTTTTATTACAGGGTCTTAGTTTTATAACGTGGGGGGTCTTAGTTTTATAACAGGGTCTTAGTTTTATTACGCGGGGGGTCTTAGTTTTATAACAGGGTCTTAGTTTTATAACGTGGGGGTCTTAGTTTTATAACAGGGTCTTAGTTTTATAACGTGGGGGGTCTTAGTTTTATAACAGGGTCTTAGTTTTATTACGTGGGGGGGTCTTAGTTTTATAACAGGGTCTTAGTTTTATTACGTGGGGGGTCTTAGTTTTATAACGTGGGGGTCTTAGTTTTATAACGTGGGGGTCTTAGTTTTATAACAGGGTCTTAGTTTTATTACGTGGAGGGTCTTAGTTTTATTACGTGGAGGGTCTTAGTTTCATAACAGGGTCTTAGTTTTATAACGTGGGGGGTCTTAGTTTTATAACAGGGTCTTAGTTTTATTACGTGGGGGGTCTTAGTTTTATAACAGGGTCTTAGTTTTATAACGTGGGGGGTCTTAGTTTTATAACAGGGTCTTAGTTTTATTACGTGGGGGTCTTAGTTTTGTTACAGTGTCTTAGTTTTATAACGTGGGGGGTCTTAGTTTTATAACAGGGTCTTAGTTTTATTACGTGGGGGAGGGTCTTAGTTTTATAACAGGGTCTTAGTTTTATAACGTGGGGGGTCTTAGTTTTATAACAGGGTCTTAGTTTTATAACGTGGGGGGTCTTAGTTTTATAACAGGGTCTTAGTTTTATTACGTGGGGGGTCTTAGTTTTATAACAGGGTCTTAGTTTTATAACGTGGGGGGTCTTAGTTTTATAACAGGGTCTTATTTTATT